CCCCAAAACCCCAAAACCCCAAAACCCCAAAACCCCGGTAAACCACAATAATTGAGGTTTATTATTTAATAATTATCAAAATGTCTTCTAGCCGATTCTTAGGCCATTATATTGTGACCTTCAGAAAGTTTGCACTACTAGATGTCTGCTGAGGGACATATTGCCTATTAAGATTAGTTAGAAAACTTACCTGTTGATACTACTTTCGCCATTGCTAAGCACTTTATCTTGAACATTTTTAGTCAGAGCTCTATTAAATGTGTACTTCGGCTCATCCATTAGAAAAGAGTTACTATTTTTTTTATTATTGATATCTTTCCCATCTAAGAAATAAGCGTTTGTCCTTGCACTCAAGTTTTGGCTCTGTTTGGTATTCATCCTCTTAAGTTTCTTGCTGAATCAATTTTGAATTAAAACCTTCAAGAATTTCTCAAGTTTTTGGTATAGCTTCTCTCCTCCTTGTTCGAGTGAATAATCTGATGCATCATCATTTTGCTGGTCTTCTATTTTGGATTTGAAAGCGAGACTTTTCCTCTTCATAAAATCACTCATAATAATAGGAGTCATATCGTTCTTAGGGTCAACTTTATCACTGATCATACTCGAATTAGACTGCGAAATAAGATCTTCAGAGTTGCTATCCTCAATGTTAATGCTAGGTACCATATCACAGTCATTTGTCATCTTTCTGCTCTTTTTCTGAGTTTTGTTATTATCCAAAGAATTAGGGTCGATTTTATCAGTATCATATACAATCTTATCTGCACACCTAGCAATGGCTTCGTAAAACTCTAGCTTGAACATTTGCATGTGCTTTTCAGTTTCTAGTTCATCAATCTCAGTCTCAAGAGAGAGGTTATAGTATTTTCCTATATCCTTATTGGCAATATTTAGAGAAAGAATCCCACTAGTAGCAATCATTTCTTGGAACTCCTCAAGGCTGACAAACTTGGGTTGAGAAGGCAAGGTGTATTTTCCAGAGTACATATTAAACAGTTGATCAAGCTGCGGCATGTACTCCTTCAGGATATATTCTACTTCTTCACAGAAGTACTCTTCTTCCCTCCATTTGTAAGACTGGAATTTCTCGAGGAAGCTGCCTAGGTCCTTGTTGAAGAACTCCTTTATTGCATCAAATTTTGTGGCGGAGATATTACTCTTGTAGTATTTATGAATTCCCAAACGGACCAGGAGTTCTAGCAGCTGGAAACGGATCAAGTCTCGGTTAGGATTTAGATTTCCTGTTTTAAATCCTGAAATTGTTGTAATGAATTCAAGATCTATTGCAGAAATTGATAAGTTATTGTCTATTATTGATGGCTGGATGTTGTTCACGATCTCGTTGAATAATGTCTTTGAGATACAAAATACCCCGTTGGAAGGAAAAATACCAGCATAGTATTTGTATAGCTCACGGATGCTTTTATACTTGCTGTTAAGAAATTCCTTTACATCTTCAACTTCTTCATCATCGAGGATTTTAGGAATTCTGGATTTACCCCAATCTTCATTAAGTCAGCTATTGAGTAATTCTTCCGTATCTTGCTTATAAGCAGCAAAAATACTTTTGCTAAAATCCCAAGGAGTTTTAGGTCTTATTCTCATTAGTGGATATTTGGGATCAGGACGAGGCTTCACAGCCATCTTATCCAAAAACTCCTCAGTTATTAGAGATTTTATCTGGTGAGAGTTCTCATAGGTATTGATTTGAGGAACACTCATATGAAGCTCATGGTGCACATCCAAATCCTCATCTCTGAATAAATTAGGAGCAATGTTCTGATCTTTTGCAATCCTTATATGATGGTCTCCAAATGTAAAGAAATACCTCACCTCTCTTGGAGGTATCATTCTCTTAATAGAGTGAATGCCAGTTGTAGGATCCCTGATCATTAAGTCTGGTTCATATTCATCACAATCTAGATGTAAGTAAACTGGGGTGAATTGATCGATAATATCTTCTGTAGATTTTCTTGGTATAAACTTGAACTCATGCTGGGTCCATCCTTCTCAAATCCATCAATTAGAAGAGACTTTGAATTGTCTTTTCCTCTCAGTTAGTACTCCAGTTTCGAGACTCTCATGAATCCTGGTGTGTATATGAGCAGCTGCAGGATCATCGTTAAGAATTTTGTCCAGGAACCCTAGAGAACTTGTATCTCTAGAATTTCCCACCATATGAAGTCCTAATAAATGTTTATTTTTGTCCAGACCTTTCGAGATCTCTTTTCAGTCTTCATCAGAGAAGCAGTTATGGCTCAGATCCATATGAATCAGAGTTGAATTTTTCTCAAACATTTGATTCAGAGCTATAGCACTTTTACATATATTTCTCCCTTCCTCATTAGTACAAAGAGAATTATGGCTAATATTTCCATAGCCTCTCTTCATTGAGGAGCTTAAAGAGTTAAATGAGGCATCCAATATTTGTAAAGAATGATTATTCCTCAAAGCGTTGAAAATTGCAACGGCTCCCTTATCTCTGATCTTATTCCAGGCTATAAAAAGCATCTTGAGAGCTCAATCCTGGAGGACCTCTGCAAGAATGCAAGCATGCTCATTCTGGAAATTGTTATGATTTAGGTTAAGAGTCTTCAGTGATGTACTATAAGCAATGCCATCTCATAGTGCTTTGAAACTGCTCTTTGAAATATTGTTATGGTCTAGTGATAATTTCTTAAGTCTGAAAAACTTCGAGCTCATCTTCTCGCTCAATAGCTGATATGAATCAGTACCTATTCTATTGTTGCTGGATAAATCAATAGTAACAATAAACTCATTGAGGTTATTTATGATAGGTATGGCACCTTTATCTTCAAGTTTATTGCTCCTCATTTCAAGTGTGACGATCCTCTGATTCGTCTTTTTGAAGATCTTTCCGAAAATTTCAGCATAATCATTTCCGATTTTGTATCCATTGAGTTTTACAATTTCTCCCATCTCTTTAGCCTTCTTTACGATTCCCATGGGGGAGGGAACAAGCTTAAGCATGTTGCATTTCTTCAAGAAGTGATCGTATGGCTCACTCTCTTCTTTTCTAGGGTTCTTGACGGCTCCATAAACCTCTTTTGCTTTAACAATATCTTTATTTTCCAAATTCCCAATCTGGATCACCGAAGTTCTTTTGAAAGCTTTCAAAGAGCTAAGTGAGTCTTCATCAGAATCATTACTTGATGAGGAGAAATCTAAAAGTTCCAATGTTGGTTTAGAGCAGCTAGCTCTCAACTGGTTGACATTATTGATATCGATATTGCCGAATTTGAGCTTCCTCTGGCTTTCAAGAAACCCATCTATTTTCTTCTTCTTAGTGCGGCTGCTCTTCCTGGCAGTTTGTACTTGTTTTCTAGGAGCTTTTATCTCTAATTTGTGCATCTCTGTATTGAATTTTTTCGGAAAAATATTCTTAAACCTAGCACGACCTTGTGTGGTGAAATTGCTCACTGAAGTCTCAGGCTTAGGGAACAAGTTCTTACTCGCTTTTTGGGGAATCTTCTTCAAATCTGGTAATAATGCGTTGTTTACTATAAACCATATTCGTGAGTAACTTAAAACTAAAAAGATTCTCTTTGCTTAACTCAAAATTTAATCACCAATGCTCACTTGTCTAGCCTCAAAGAGACTATTAGCACAAGTGAGGATAACAACAATTAGGGGTTCTGCCAACTATGAAGTCATCCTTCAGCCAGAACCAGTAGATTTTTCGTCCAAAAATTATTGAGACTCCAATGCTAATGCTAATTTTTGAGTTTTAAACTTATCTGCAAAATCAAAGAAGTACTTATTCCGAAGAAATTCTAACAGTTACATTTCGGGTCCAAAGTGAGCACAAAGTTTGTTTGAAAGTAAGTAAGGGCAGAGCCATGACAAAACTATTAGAAGTGATCGTTTAGGAAAACAGATTCCGGCAGCAACTTACTCTTTGATATCTTAAGCGTTATATTTTCCTTCTTGATTATCTTTCCCTTAGGAGTGATGCTGAACGTCTTCTGGCTTTGACTCATTGGATTATAACTCCTGGTTGAGCACTGGGTTGAGGTGAGATGGTTCCTAACAAGGTCAGGGTTTATGCTAAAGAACTGCCTCATGTTAATCTTCTGAGCTTTATTTACTCGTACTCCTTCTGACACTTCATCTCACATTGTGATGGGTAGTTGTTCTTGTAGGAGTAAACTGGTTTTTGAGCTTATGGGATCGATTCATTCTTTGTGATTTCAATATATCTGTTCTTCTCATCAGTATACTTAACTCCAATTTCTTAAAAATGTTTTGAATAATCTATTTATTTTATTTACAAATATTTAAGTGCTGGGGTTTTGGGGTTTTGGGGTTTTGGGGTTTTGGGGTTTTGGGGTTTTGGGG